CTGCTGAATGTGCATTTTAAATTAGGCACTGGTATTTTGAACAAAATATCTCATTGGGATGAGATTCTTTTAACCTGATGTTTATCTAGTGATTCAACACTTTAATTTTTTTTCCAGTTTCTGGCAGATATGGAAAATAATGCACTCTTTAGAGATGACATTGAATGTCAAAAACTCATTATGGAAGCAATGAAGTACCATCTGTTACCAGAGAGACGACCCATGTTACAAAGTCCTCGCACAAAGCCTAGAAAGTCAACAGTAGGAGTATTGTTTGCAGTTGGAGGAATGGATGCCACAAAAGGTACTGGTTTATATAATGACTGTTGATGGCAACATACACTGAAAATCCATTGAACTGACTTTTAATGAAACATCATTAGATGCTTACATAGCATACAAATGACAGCTTTCATAGAAACCATAAAAATAAGCCTGGAGCGGACCTTGAGAGGTCATATTTCTTCTTACTGTCCCAAGGCAGCATCAACTATACCTAAAGCATTCAGGATCTGTATTTGTGCAAATTTTTCTTAAAATCATTTAGTGACAGTTTCTTAGGTAATCTATTCTAATGTTTATCCTTACTGATGGACAGATTTTCTTAATGTCTAACCTAAATGTCCCTTGCTGCAGTAAAAGCTTGTTGCTGGACATGAAGAATAGTTTCTAACCTTCCTGTTGTATTAAATTTTAAACTGTGTAAGGCATTATCATGTCTTCCCTCAGGCTTCCCTAATTCGTTAGTCTTTCCTTATAGGTCGTATTTTCGATACTCGTCATTTTTATTGCTTTCCTCTGGACTCTTTCCAATTAATCCACATCTTCTTGCAAATGTGGTACCTAAAATGAAACACAGTATTCCAACTGAGGTTTTTCCAGAACTGAAGAGAGTGAAAGGAATAGCTCTCATATCTTTAGTGGGACATGCCTCTTACCCCATCCCAGTATGACAATAGCTTTTTTCCTAATAATATGACATTGTGAACCCATATTCAGTTTGTGAGCCACTCTTACCCCCAAATCCTCTTCTGTGGAACTTTCAAAGGTTACACATAATAACATATCAAGGTCACAAATAAATATTCATTTTTTTCCTTAAGTAATAAATGTATATGTGACAAGATGAGCGTTGGAGTGGCTGCAGTGCCCCCTACGGGCCATGCTGATCCTGCCTTGCTTCAGCTTCTCAGTGTATCCCCTCACAGTCTCATCTGCCATGCCTTGATGGAAATAGTCTGTTGTGGTAGAAAGCTGCCCCCAGAGACCTAGAGTGATTTTTATTGATAATTTGCCTGAAGAACAGATATGGAGCCCTTACAACAGAGGAGGAGGAGCATATTCCAATGGTGGAAGAGGCCAAGCCAGGCATTCCTAAGGTTGGGAGGATTTTGACCACTGCCATCAAGAGGAAGTAACAGGTGGTGGTGGTTGGAGACTGCATTCTGCAGGGGGTGGAGGCATCCATCTTCCAGCCTGACTTGTTGTCTCAGAAGATCTGAGCCCAGATCCAAGATGTTATGAAGGGATTATTGAAACTCATCTGGCCCTCAAAGTACTACCCCATGCTACTCATCCATGTGGGCACCAATGATACTGCCAGGGAAGACCCTGAGCAGATCAAAAGTGATTACAGGGCTCTATGTGCAAGGGTGAAGGGCACGGGCATAGGTGGTGTTCTCCTCAATCCTTCCCATCAGGGGGAATGGTGCAGGCAGGGGAAGACGCATGCTGCAGATCAACAGATGGTTGCACAGATGGTGTTTCCAGGAGGGCTTTGACTTCTTTGACCACAGGATGTTGTTCCAAGATGTAGGGTTGATAGGAAGAGATTGGATCCACCTGACCAGGAGAGGCAAGAGCATCTTCACAGGTGGGCTCACTAGTCTGAGGACGGCTTTAAACTAGATTTGCCAAGGGATGGAAAGCAAAGCCCTGAGGTAAGTGGGGAAGTGGGTGACCTGGAGGAAGCACAAGCAGAAGGGAGCGGGCAACAAGGGCCTTTTCATTCATTCTTCCTGACAAAGTAGGACAATTGGCTAGTTACCTCAGGTGTCTATACATGGATGCAGAGAGCCTGGGAAAGTGCAGGAAGAATTGGAACCTGTGCTCAGAACACCACCTGAGCCCCTGTGCCTTTCACCCATGCACCCAGAGCCCTGTAATCACTTTTGATCTACTCAGGGTCTCCCCTGGCAGTATCATGGGTGCCCAGTGGACGAGCAGCATGGGGTAGTCCTCATACAGTCCCAGAACTCATGTGATTGGAATAACAGAGACTTGGTGAGAGAGCTCACATGACTGGAACACTGCATGGATGGATATAAACTGTTCAGGAAGGATAGGATGAGAAAGGAGGAGGAGTTTCTCTTTATGTAAAAGAGCTATATGATTGGTCAGAGCTCCTGTATGAAACTGGAGACAGACCTGTTGGAAGCTGTTGAGTTCAGGTCAGAGCAATAAGGGTGATGTTGTGGTGTGGGTCTGCTATAGTGCACTACACCAGGAGGATGAAGTGAATGAGGCTTTCTTCAAACAGCTAGCAGAAGGCCCTGATTCTCATGAGGGACTCCAATCACCCTGATATCTGCTGGAGGCCAATACAGCAGTGCCCAGGTAATCCAGGAAGTTTTTGGAGAATGTTGGGGACAACTTCCTGGTACCAGTGTTGGAGAGGCCAACTAGGGGCTGTGCTTTTGACCTGCTGCTCACAAACGGGGAAGAATTGTTGGGGAATGTAGTAGTGGATGGCAACTTGGGTAGCAATGACCATGAGATGACTGAGTACAGGATCCTGAGGAAAGGAAGGCAGAAGAGCAGCAATGTAAGGACCATGGACTTCAGAAAAGCAGACTTTGACTTGCTCTGGGAGCTGATGGGCAGGATCCCCTGGGAGGCCAGTCTGAGGGGGAGAGGAGTCAAAAAGAGCTGGCTTTATTTTAAAGAAACTTTACTTGGGGTGCAGAAATGAACCATCCTGATGTACAGAAAGACTAGCAAGTATTGGCAGATCAGCTTGGCTTAGCAGGGAACTCTTCAGTGAGGTAAGCACAAAAAGGAAGATTACAAGAAATGGATACTTGGATGGACAACTTGGGAGTAGTATAAGAGTATTGCTCAGGCATGCAGGAATGAAATCAGGAAGGCCAAAGCACAACTGGAGTTGCAACTAGAAAAGGACATGAAGGGTTTCTATAAGTATGTCAGCAACAAGAAGATGATGTGGGTCCCTTAATGAGTAGGGAGGCAGCCTAGTGGCAGATGATGTGGAAAAGGGAAATCTATCCAGATACTGAATACTTTTTCCACCTCAGTCTTCACAGGCAAGGTCAGCTCCCACACTACTTCACATGGCAGCACAGCTTGGGGTGGAGGTGAACAGCCGACAGTGGCAAAAGAACAGATTAGGGACTATTTAGAAAGCTGGACGTGTACAAGTCCACAGGGCTGATCTCAGCGCCCTCAGGTGTGCTGCGTGAGTTGGCCACTATGATTGAAAAACCGCTAGCCATTATCTTTGAAAACTCATGGGTGTTGGAAGAAGTCAGGGGGGGATAGAAAAGGGGAAAATAATAGTGCCCATCTTTAAGAAAGGGAAGAAGGAGGATCCAGGGAACTACAGACTGCTCAGCCTCATACCTCAGTCCCTGGAAAAATCATGGAGCAGATCCTCAAGGAATCCATTTCTAAGCACTTGGAGTAGAAAAAGGTGGTTAGGAACAGTCAGCATGGATTCACCAAGGACAAGCCATGCCTGACCAACCTGATTGCCTTCCAGGATGAGATGACCGGCACTGTGGATGCAGGGAGAGGAGTGGACATGATATACCTGGATTTTAGCAAGGCTTTTGACACATTCTCCGACAACATTCTCGCAATCAAACTAAGGAAGTATGGGTCAGCCGAATGGACTATAAAGTGGATAGACAACTGACTGGATCATCAGGCTTAGAGAGTAGTAATCAATGGCTCAATGTCTAGTTGGCAGCTGGTATCAAGTGGAGTGCCCCAGGGGGTCAGTCCTGTGGGTGGTCTTGTTCAATATCTTCATCAATGACTCGGAAGATGGGATGGACTGCACCTTCAGCAAATGTGTGGATGAAACCAAGCTGCGGGGCATGGTAGATATTGCTGGAGTGTAGGACTAAGATTCAGAGAGGCTTAGAGAAATTGGAGGACTGGACCCAAAGAAATCTGATGAGGTTCAATAAGGACAAGTGCAAAGTCCTGCACTTAAAACGGAATAATCCCATGCACTGGTGCAGGCTAGGGTCTGACTGGCTGGGCAGTAGCTCTGCAGAAATGGACTTGGGGGTTACAGTAGACAATAAGCTGAATACAAGACAACAGTGTGCCCTTGTTGCCAAGAAAGCTAACAACATACTGGGCTGCATTAGTATTAGTGTTGCCAGCAGATCAAGGAAAGTGATTATTCCCCTCTATATTATTCAGCACTGGTGAGGCCACATCTGGTGTACTGTGTCCAGTTGTGCCCCCCACTACAGAAAGGACATGGACAAACTGGAAAGAGTCCGATGGAGGGCAATGAAAATAGTTAAGGGGCTGAGGAAAATGACTCCTGAGGAGAGGCTAAGGAAACTGGGTTTAGTCTGCAAAAGAGAAGACTGAGAGGAGATTTAATAGCAACCTTCAGCTACCTGATGGGTGGTTACAAAGAGGATGGAGCTAGACTGGTTTTAGTGGTGGCGGAGGACAGAACAAGGAGCAATGGTCTCAAGTTGCAGTGAGGAAAGTTGAAGTTAGATATTAGGAAGCATTTTCTCACTAGGAGGGTAGTAAAACACTGGAACAGGTTGCCCAGAGGGGTTGTGGAATCTCCATCCTTACGAGTATTTAAGACCTGGGTGGACAAAGCCTTGGCTGGGATGATCTAGTTGTGATGGTTCTGTTTTGAGCAGGTGGTTGGACTAGATGACCTCCTTAGGACACTTCCAACCCTAATTTTCTATGATTCTGTGATGCCCTAACCCAAACTTAACTTAGTGAGATCTCAGTCCACTACAAAAACCTATCCTGAGTCCTGCCAGCACTGATCAGCAGGTATCCAGGTTTTCGTTTGCTGGAGAAAATCATGGGTTTTCTCCTTTAAAGAAGAAAAATGTGGCGAACTGCAGGTTTCACCTTGCAGGATGGCAGAGTTCCAGCCTGTGAAGGGGCTGCTTGGGGCTGAGGCAAGCAGGAGGAGTGTGATCAGGGCAGGGGGAATCACATAGGTGCACACACATGCATGTGGCAGCTAGGTAGCATGGCAGAGAGTGCCTCCAGCATGAGCCAGCTGGTGGCAGGAGGAGGTGGGGGCGGTGTGGAAATGTTTTGCAAGAGGAAGCTTGATTTGAATAAAACACTTATTACAAATGGCAGTTCTGCTTGAATATAATTCTGATATATTGTTCCTAAGGTGCTACAAGCATTGAAAAGTACGAACTTCGTACCAATATGTGGACCCATGTAGCAAATATGAATGGGAGAAGGTTACAGTTTGGAGTTGCAGTGTTAGATGATAAGCTGTATGTTGTTGGTGGTAGAGATGGACTAAAGACATTGAACACTGTGGAGTGCTACAACCCTAAAACAAAAACTTGGAGTGTAATGCCGCCTATGTCCACACATCGTCATGGCCTTGGTACGTAAGATTTTATACATTAGTGACATATTTTTACGAAGTGCCAGCTAACCTACCTATGTTCAGTTCAATACATTCTCCCCTTAAACCTCATTTAGTGTTTTTGTGATATAAGCCTTGGCCTGAGCTCTAAAATTGGCTGAATGAAAGTAACAGATTCTTTTTATCATTTGCTATAGGATAGATTTAATATCAGCAGCCAAAACAGGGGGGGGTTATTTTAAAGTTTCATCTTCCTGATGGACATTTGGAAGGAACAATGAAAAAGGGTGATCTTTATTTTTGCAGCAGGCAATTGTTTCTCTTATCTGGTTTTAGGTGTAGCTGTACTAGAAGGTCCTATGTATGCTGTTGGAGGACATGATGGCTGGAGTTACCTGAACACAGTAGAAAGATGGGATCCACAGGCTCGTCAATGGAACTTTGTGGCCAGTATGTCAACTCCAAGAAGTACGGTTGGTGTAGCAGTGTTAAATGGAAAGTAAGAAAAGGCAATTTCTTGACACGTAATTTGGTCCAATTTTCTTTATATTTTTAACATAGAAAAATATTTTAAATTAATTTTTTGTTCGTGAAAGATATCAGTTGACAGTATTGGGCATGGAAGTTCTTTGCTCATAGAATAGGTGCTCTCTTGATCAATAAAGCTTCCTTACATCATTCTAATGTGCTTCAGTTCTGCTGGGGAGTGGCCACTTCTAAAGGCAAGTTTAGTCTCCCTATTAATGCAGTTCCAGAAACAGTTACTAAAGGAGTCTATTGAAATTCTAGTTTGTTCCCAGGGGGAAGGTTTTTTATTAAAGGCAATTAACTTTTTAGTAATAGAATGGATGACATCAACTACCCTTGCTCTCTTGCCTTACCTAAATTGAGTGACTGCAGGGTTTTTTTCTTTTCTTTTTTTTTTTTTAAACCTATAATAAGATTTTTCAGGCCACTTACACAAAAATCTCCCATCTATCTAGTCATAAAGTCAGCTAGTTAAAAAAAATGCCTTCAATCAATCTTGCAATCTTGCTAACACCAGCAGTGTTCAGTGAAAGAACCATAAAAGATGGAAAGCAGGAAAATATTGTCAGAATGAAAGAAGTGAGAAATTAAATAGAAAAATTTCATATGAGAAAGCAGAGAGCAGTATTATAATTTCCCTGTACTGTACAATTCATAAAACTTGATTCAGTATAGTTTTGAACTCCACTCATCTAGTAATTATCACTGTCAGGAGGCTATTCTTGATTATTTTTTCTACCTCAATTTCATCCTGTAATTCCTGGTTATAACCTCCTGTGTATGGCATTTAAAACAGTCTCTTCCCTTGATAGTAGGGCTGGAGTGATGCAGCTCCAATTGTCCAGGAAATATACTCGAGGCATGGATGTTTTGGTGATTCCTTTTACTGACCAACGAATGGTATAGCTGGGAGACATGTTATGCTTTTGAGCATGAATTACCCTTCCTCAGATCTGAGGGAAACCCTTGTCTCTTCTCTTGATAGCTTTCAAATTCTTCAAATAGCTGTATTTTTTATCGTCATGCTTCTAAATCATGGCTTATGAGGCAGATCCAGGGGAGGTGCAGTAGGGGAGTCACACTGCACTTCCACTATGTAGCTCACATACCAATGGCTCCGTTTCCCCATAGCTATATCCTCTGTGTAGTCCAGGCAGGAAATGAGGTCAAACCATAGGGATATGAGGGCAGGGCAAGGCATGGTTGGAGCTCCCAGGCATCAGCAAGGACCAGGTGCAGGAAGGGTAGACCACCTGCTGCCACTGCTGTCCCCAGCTGATGCAAGCATAGGGAGAGCCCCAGAACTGCTCCTTCCCTCCTCCAGCTGGGGGCTGTGGAGAGTGGCTGCATGGGGTGAGGCATGAACGACTGGTGCCTTCTGAGATGGGGGGGGCACCATTTGTAGGCAGCAGCATCGGCAGCGAGCAGGTGGGGGTGCGGTGTGGCAAGCGGGGACCGCCCACAGATGCTGGCGGTGGTGTTGGTGGCAAGGAGGAAGTGGGTGGCGAGCAGCGACTGCCTGCAGAAGCCACCAATCTGGGGGGGGGCACATGCCCCCCCCCCCCGGGGCCCCCCCCCCCCCCCCGGTGCCCCTCCCTTACGAGTCACTTGTGGGGTAAGGGATAGCAGCAGGGGCAGCAATAGATAGGGTCCCCCTTCCTGTTCTTGCTTCCTCCCCATCCCCCGCTGAAGCAGTTGCTGAAGGGGAGACCTACCCAGTACTGCCATTCTCCCTATCTGACCCTGGCACGCCACACAACTGCAGCCTAAATCCTTTTTCAAGAGGAGGTTAGATAGGCATCTAGCTGGGGTCATCTAGCCCCAGCCCTCTTCCCTGCCTATGCAGGGGGTCGGACTCGATGATCTATTGAGGTCCCTTCCGACTCTAGAATCTATGAATCTATAAAGCCCCAGGTGGAGTAGGGCAGGAACAACTTTGGGAGTCCATCCACATTCGAGTCAACTGGGAAGAGTGGCAGCTTAATCCCCCTCTTCCTGTGCCCAGAGGTATGATTAGGAAGGTTTGGACCTGGGAAAACCCTGCTGGTGTAGAAGGGGAGATGCAGCTGAATGCTGGGTGGGTGGGAGGTAGAGGGTAGTCTCATCTACTTCAGGGACTCCCAAAAGACTCTGCTGCTGCTTCCATAGCACAGTCTTTCTGCCCCTGGGCAGCCACCCTCACAGCACTGGCGGCATCTGCTGCAAGTCCCTTTTTAAATCCTTGGATGTGCTTATGCCTGTAGTAAGGATATTTGTGCCAGTGTACTTATACTGATGCGAGATGGGTATACCTATCTGCGTTACAGGGCTGCTCTTAACAAAGCTACAGATTAAACCTCTTTTTAAGCCTTCCCCAAAAAAGCAATCCCTCCTGCTGCTTTTTACTTTTGTTAGTCTTCAAACTCTCCAATTTTTCTGTTTCTCTGTTAAGGAGGCGCCTATAACACAGGGGTGGCCAAGATACAGCCCACGGGCCATATCTGGCCTACCACTTATTCATAGATGTTAGGGTTGGAAGGGACCTCAATAGATCATCGAGTCCGACCCCCTGCATAGGCAGGAA